TGAAAGGACAAGCGCGAGTCATCGTACAATCATAGAAGGAAACTCGTAGGGGTGCTTTAGCAATTCGTTTAAGGGACTAGATCGTTTACCGAAGGCAGCATCGAAAGGGTCATCGAGAGACTACGATATTTATATTCAAGGGACAGTGCTAAAACGTCCCCACGTTCGAGGGACATGACTGTGTTTCTGAGGCAACAAGGGAGGTTACCCTAGAGGTGCGGGTGTGCAAAGTGATTTGTGTTTCAAGTATTATTTATCTTTGATTAAGGTTAGCTATCGTTTGCTTTTAATCTTGCCATACAATCCTATTAGGTAAACAATTATATACAAGGCATAAAATATAAGTGCGGAAAAGTAAAATTCTACGCTATTACATGGCTTCGGGAATGAGGGGTACAAGTAATAAAAATGCGGGAAAAGCAAAACCCTAATTATCTATTACAAATCATGAGCAATTACAATAATTGAAAAAATGCGAAAATAATAAAATACGCGAAAAGGTAAAAAAGGGCAAGGGAAAGGAAATTGCTTTGGTGATTTTTGATAGAAAAAAGATTTGATGATTAACCTAATAACCTAATTAATTTTAATTAATTAAAAAATAAATTGATTAGTCAAAACCTAAAAACCCTAACTTGCTTTTAATTTAAAAAAGGTTTAGTGAAAAAAACCTAAAAACTAAATTAATTGATTAAAATAAAAAATCTAAAAAATTATTTTGGATCAATTAAATAAAAAAACTAAAACTAATTAGGGTTTAAGACAAACAAGGCTTTTGAAAATGGTTTTGTAAAAATAAAATAAAAGAAGAGAAACAATAAGAAGAAAAGAGAATTGAAAAAAAATAATCAAAATGGTAGGGGTGGATGTTGAACCCACGCCCTCAGAACTTCCAACCAACACCTTCACCACTAGGCCAGGTGCGCCTTGGTGACAAGTTGAGGAAACTAACGTGCTTTATCATCTGTAAAACAAATAAATCATAAAAATGTCAAAATGCCAAAAGGTTGGGATCGAACCCACGCCTTGGCATAATAAGTCTTTATCGCTCGCGCTTCAACCGTTGGGGCAGTAATATATTCGTTAACTTATGTGAAACGAATAAAATAAATATTAAGAAAAACGCATGGATCAGAGAGACGTCGAAGCCCTAGCTCCGGTTGTCTTCTCCGTTGAGAAGATTTCTCTTTCCTGCAAAATAACACGTATTAGATATCAAGGGGGACCCTACCCCCCTAAATCCAACCATGCGAATTCAATGGGATGGTTTTCTTTGGATGAATCACGCTGGGTTTTGGGTAATGGTGAAAACAACACCGATTTGTACAAAGATGATGGTTCATGATTTGGCCAGCACGGGACCTCCACGATGGGTTTTTCCTGCATATCATTACCTTATGAACATGTTAATAACATTAGTATGCGTAAAAACATCATGAAACAACAAATATGAAAAACATGCAATGATGAAACCGACGAGGCATATTCATGTGATTTTATCCCCTTTTGATCATGGAAATCTATCCATCCTTACCCTCTTGTGTCCCTATAAGTGAATAGACTGACTAGTTTATAGTGAAAGGGACTATGAATACGGTTTCCAGGTTTTTTAGGGTTCTTGAAAATTGAGATTTTTGGGCAAGCTTCTTTGTATAAGGGTTAGTGGATTTTGTGTATGAATAATGAAGATTATATAAGGGTGAAATTAGGTCAATAACATGGGCTTGGATCTTTGTTAATAAGCCTTGTATTCTATCTTATTTATTTTTGAATTAATAATGAATAAATAAAAAATAATTAAAATGAAATAGATCAAGGGGTACATGAGCAAAGTATGAGGTGCATAAGGAGTGTAGTACATGCCTGGTCTCTTAAACAATGGCCCAATAGCCCAAAATATCAAGTATGCTCAATTTGAACTTCATGCATTTGCTCAAAATTTCCCAAATTGCACTAGTTATAACTCTCTCAATTTTTATCTTTTGAATATGATCTTAGACTTTTTGGAAAGCTCAAGATATCCTCTATAATCCCTCTTTTGATTATTTTTGCATTTGAAGACTTTATCTTGATGTAATTTTCCTTGACAAAAGTGTCTTTTTGTTGGCTTTTGAAAAGACCTATAATGTATTGACTCATATCTCTCAGATGAAGCATTTTTTGGACTTGAGATTAGAGCAATAAAGTTTTAGAGAATTGAATTTCCTTCAAAATGAGATTTGGTTGGGGAAAAATGATGAAACATGTGAAAGTTATGTTTGGTCAAAGTTCAGTTGACTTCTCCTAAGAAAACCCTAATTTGACAACTTTTGACTTTTGATGATTTGAGAGCGTTTCTTGATAAATCATGATCAACCCTTGATCAAATGATGAATGTGACTTCAAAATGTTGATATTGACCAAAAATCTTGAAGTTTGACTGTATGTTGACAACAATTGACTTTTTGCCTAATGTAGTTGATTTTCAGTCATCTGAGCCATTGACTGAGCAAACTCGTGATGCAAGGCTTGAAACTTGACATGAGCATTCTTGAAGACATATGAGGAACCATGGAAACCAATTAAGGCCTTTGAAACCCAAATTTACTTATGAAAGATGAAGCCCTAGTTGTGGATCCATTGCCTAGGAGAATAATTTGTCTGATCAATTTTTGAGCAACCTTGAGCATTTGAGAACCCTAGAAGAATGTCTTGAGTAAAAAGGGAGGGTAAATTTTGGGGTACAACACACTGTTTTTGCCACAAACAACTTCCTCACTAAAATAGTTTTGCTCCAAAATTATAAGCATGACTATCTATAGAGCACTATAAATGTAACTATGGGCTTGTTTTCCAAATGCTTTTAGCTATACCACCCATGTGACTGCAGCATGAAAGAACAACAACAAGGGTAGCATCCTATAGAAAAGTTCAACGGCTTCCATGTACAGTTGTTCTTGAACATGACACCAAATTATAGAATTCTAAGAAATCACATTCTTCACAGGCACCTAGTTAAAAATCTCAATGCACAATCAATAAGCTTGTGATTGGCATAAGCATTAATCATACATGTCAAAGAAACTACATCCTTTAAGGAAACTCAGTTTTGAAATTAAATCATAAATGACAATGCAAATACGGTGAGTCCAATCTTCAGGTATGCATTTTTACAAACACCTTGACTACAGTAGTATAAGACACCATTGTCAGCGTCTACAATAACACCATCACAATCACCGATCCAAAGCTCCATTATCCAATGTCAAAGCTTTATCGGGATAAAAATTTATGATCCAAACAACATGATGACTGAAAAATCTAACTTGTTTCTTGATGATGAACATCAAAACACCCCCTGGGATCAAATAGGGTGATGAAGTCACAGTGGTGATCTAAATATCCAAAACGATATGTAATTGAGAATGAAACATTCAACATATGAGATTTCATTACCTCCATATTGATGACGAAGTTGTGACTTTCGGATTCCAATCTTGATGAAATTGAATCTTGTTTGACGAAGACTCTTGCAGAACGATCAATAGCAGAAAAGAGAATTCGAAATTCTGTTTCACTGATTCTTCATCCATTTTCTATAATTTCTCTTCTACATCTCTCAGTTGATTTAATATATCAAGATTTTCGAACGGTTCTGAAAGTTGAAATTCATTCATAGCAATATCACAATTGTTATTTTGCTCTTCGATGTTCTGCGGTGCAACATCCTTGCTCACGAAAAGAACTGCGATATCTTCAAGCTTGAAATTCTTGAAAAATGAACAATGCTTCTGCCTGATAGATATGTGACGATGAACAAATCGAATGTTGCGTTTTGTTTGATGAATTCGAACCTGATAGTTGCAGTTGAGACATCGAGATCTTTGTTTCATAGAGCTTGAATCCATAGTTGCAAAAACTTTCTTTTCTTGATAATGAAATGAATTTTCATCTTCACTGATATCAAGATCAAAATCGATAGCAGAATCTTCATCCTCATCATCCACACGATATCGCTCTGATACCATGTTGAGAATCCATGGATGATAGGGAGAGAGGTCATATGAGAGATAAAGTGCATATGAATACTCATGTGGTAACATAGTGAAAAGCTTATTGAATAGATGAAAAAATGTGTACAATAATGAGATCCTATTTATAGACTTAATTGTATAACTAATTGACAAACTAACACTTAACTAATTCCTAACTAACTAACTAATTGGACTATTTTAACGAATATCTCTTTTGGTCTCGTATATTAACTCCGTGGTGTATTTTAATCTCTTAACTTAAAAAAAAGTTCATATTATTCTCTTAACTCTTTAAACTGTATCATATTAGTTTTTTTTGTCTTATTAGCAACAAATTTAGCGACAAATTTTTAAATTTTGTCGTTGCTAATTAAACGAAAAGGACGAATATAATACGTTTCGAAGAGTTAAAGAGTCAATATGAAATTTTTTAAGTTAAGAAATTAAAAAGAACTCTGAGATTAATATACGAGACCAAAATAAATATTAAGCCTTCTTTTTAAACATAAAAATTATATCAAAGTTATTTTATTAATTCACTTTACTTAAAAATTATATAAATTCATATTTTTTATTGATTTCATTTACTTTTTCTTAATAATATATATTGTATCTTATTTTTTAAATATTATATTATATTAAATAAAATAATATAAATTTTTTTAACAAAATAAAATTCACATTTTCATTTATATATATATATATATATATATATATATATATATATATATATATATATATATATATATATATATATATATATATATATATATATATATATATATATGCTTTTATAGTTTTTTTTAATTAACTACCAAACTAGGAGTTGATGTGTTCACCAAGAAATAAAAAAATAAAAAAAATAAAATGTTTAAAGCATATTCTTCGGTTTATCTACAATATAAAGGGTGAACAACAAACACTTCAGAACAGCAACAACAAAGGGTTTTTCACTTCCTCGTCTAAATCGAAAACATCAACCAAAACATGGGCAGAAAATTCTTCGTCGGCGGTAACTGGAAATGCGTATGTTTCAATCCTCTTTTCACTCTCTTCACTGTTTTTTTCCTTCCTTTTCTCAATTTGTTTCGATCTTAATTTTAATGAAATCTTTACTTCTTCACTTTTCATCATCGTTTGTGATTCTAATCGTTTAAATTTAGTTCCGAAACTATGTTAAAAACCAGATCGGAGGATTTTGTTTCTGTTGTGAAATTAATGTTGGATCACTTGATTTACTATATCCTTTTACCGATCTAGCAAGTTCTTAGTTGCAGTGATACCCTTCATGATAAGATCTATTTTCCATATAGGGATTTGCACAAAGGAAACATGAATCCGTGCTTTTTGCATGATATATGTTAGCATTCATAATTTCCTCGTGGAACTGTTTTCTAGATTATGTTATGGGTTCCATATAAAGATATGCACAGAGGAAGCATGAACTTGAGTTTTTTTTGCATTATATATGATGTTAACATTCATAATTTCCTCATGGAACTGTTTTTTAAGGTTGTTTTTTTGTTTCTTGTAATTAGGTTCTCTATACCAAGTGATCCAGATTGTTAATCTGTTTTTTTTGGTTGATTTTGTTGCAGAATGGAACAACTGAAGAGGTGAAGAAGATTGTTGGTACTTTGAACGAAGCTAAAGTCCCTGGAGAAGATGTTGTTGGTGAGTATTAGCAGGATCTTGATGAGTCTTGTTCTATTTTCATGTTTAAACATATGATACTTAGATCACTTTTGGTATTGATATATTTTGCTAAGTAAGTTTGAGTATTAATTTGGATTGTGTTTCTAATAAGAAAATCGATGAGTACTAGAAGGTTCTTTATTTGTTTGTACATATTATGAACCACTGTGAAACTCTTTTGAATTGTTATAATGAGACTTATATTAATTTTACATGCTTACATGGTGTTTGCGATGATAGAACTATGCATGTGATTTCTATTTTGCATCTATACATTTTAGAAATGAAATATGCTTATCTATGCGGGCCTTGAAATTTTAACTGCATATCAAGTTTCCGGAAATATCAGTTTCTTTGTATCTCTTTGTTAATGTTTTTCTCATATTTGTTCTTTTCATTCAACCTCTATAGTATTGATGTTTTGGTGATATGTTTCTGGTATTGGCATGTGCTAATTGCTAACAAATGTGTTTTTGGTGTTACAGAAGTTGTTGTGAGCCCCCCTTACGTGTTCCTTCCCTTCGTGAAAAGCTTACTTCGCTCTGACTTCCATGTTGCTGCTCAAAACAGTTGGGTTCGCAAAGGTGGTGCTTATACTGGGGAGATTAGGTATGTTATTCATACCTGGCTCTTCAGTTTATTTTGGTGCTTTGGATTTAATTTTCATGACCAATGAATGACACAAGGGCTTTGGTCTTTTCATGTTCGGTAGAACTAGAACCATGTAACTGAACCATCTGATTTCCTTTCTCCCGTTTTTTTTTTCATCTGCGTCGTTTATTTATAGTGGCATAATTTTGAAGTTTTTACCTATTATTTAATTTGTGTTTATTGTGTGTTTTCTGTTAACAGTGCTGAAATGCTTGTAAATTTGGATATCCCTTATGTTATTCTTGGGCACTCTGAGCGAAGGCAGCTTCTAAATGAATCAAATGAGGTGCATAATTTTTATTTTCCTATGGCTTATGTTTTCAAATTTCCCCTCTCTGCTCTAGTTGTGCACTTGTGCTATAACTTCTAGTTTGCTGAGTAACTTGTATTTGCTTAAGATTAAATTTTAGTATCAATACTTCCCGATTTTCTACTGATTTATGTTCTGCTACAGTTTGTGGGAGACAAAGTTGCATATGCACTCTCACTAGGGAGGAAAGTTATCGCTTGCATTGGGGAGACTCTTGAACAGCGTGAAGCTGGTACTACTCTGGATGTTGTTTCTGAGCAAACAAAGGCAATTGCAGGTACTCTTATGTTCACAAGCTCTCTTTTTTTCCCATTTGTTTCTCTATGCAAGATGGTATTCTCACATAAAATACTTTTTCAGACAATAACATTGTTGCTGACCTCAATTCTATTTGCAGACAAAGTATCAAACTGGGACAATGTTGTTTTGGCCTATGAGCCAGTTTGGGCCATTGGAACTGGAAAGGTTGCAACTCCTGCTCAGGCACAAGAGGTATGCTTACCTATATTTCATTTTTTATACATTGTTGTACGGTATAATTTTTTTTGGACTGTCAATCAATCATAACCATCAGACTATGTTGATAATCCGTGATAGCTTTACGAACCTAAAATTTTTACTCGTGTCGAATTGTTCTTTCTGCTATCTGGTTGCTTAATCTCTTTTTTGTTGAAGTAACTTGTAGATTGTGTTGTCTTGATAATGTAATTAATATTTGGCCTAGGTCCATGCTGCTTTAAGGAAATGGGTTCACGACAACGTGGGTGCTGAAGTTGCTGCCTCTCTAAGAATCATCTATGGAGGTACTTCCGTTTATACTAGTCTCCATATATGCGGTTATTTTGATGTCATCAAAGAATATTAGCAGCCTTGGTGTGAGTTTTTGAGGCATTGTAGTGATAGTTTCTTATTTAATTAACTCCATCTAAAACTGCAGGCTCTGTAAATGGAGGAAACAGCAAAGAATTGGCATCACAGCCTGACATTGATGGATTTTTGGTTGGTGGTGCTTCCTTGAAGCCGGAGTTCATTGACATCATCAACTCCGCGACTGTGAAGAAGAACTGAAATTCGTAAGTAGGAATTGATTTGCTGCTTTTGAAGCAGCTTCGGAAATTTCTGTTGAGTTATGATTCGTATTTGTAACAATGCTTTGAACTTGTGTTTAGTAAGTACTCTGAATAAACATGATTTCCTTTTACCTCATCGGTGGGCGATGAATTGGGTTTTTGGTTAAGTTTTTATGCAGAAATAGTGTACTGCCATGACATTTGGTCAGTAAATAATATGTTAAATGCGTTTGTTTTAGTTGACTTTACTTTTCATCGCCGTTTAAGTCTGTAATGTGTGTTATTTGGATTCTGTGTTGTCTTTTGAAGATTTGGACCATTAAAATGAGAGAATTGTAGTTGTTTTTAATAAATCTACTAGAAGTGAATTGCCTTTATCAAATGTAGGTAGTATATGTTATGAGTGAAGTAAATCAAAGGTTAATTTTGTTCATTGAAATTTTAACACATATTTAGTCAAAATAAACTCTAATTTAGAACTATGGAAAATTCAATTTGTTTAGAATCAATATCGATGTTACATTGTGTGTTTTTAAAGGATCTATTGAATGGTCATCTTAACTACCATAATACAAGAAGGATGACCAATGTAATGTCGTTTCAATTAGCACGTACAAGAATGTCCATTGTTGAGTATTGATATCCGTTAATTGGTTTAGATGGGAGTGTTCAATTCATTAACATATATAGCTTCAAAATAAAGATGATGTGAGAATCATGTTTTAAATATTTAGTTAGTGTTGTTTCAAGGAACCAATTGAGTTAGACTCTACCTTGTTTTGTTTAAACTTGATTTGTTCCAGGACATTTGATAAAATCAAAGTGTACATGGTTGAACCTGATGAAGAAGTTGACTTGTCTTAAGCATGATCTTGTTGGTGTTTGATTCATTTATGTTTATATCGCGGTTGATGTATTATGTTGTTGAATTTGATTTAACGAAGTGTTTATATTGAATGTTTGGTTAATAAATTTTGGCAATTTTTCATTGCATCCTTATATATTCTTCCGGTCTCTTTGCGAAATTTTCAAAATGTCTTTTGTTTTTGGAGATGCATCTTCAGATCTATCAAATATCATTTTTTTTCACAAAATGTCTTCTGAACATTACCCGGTTCCACAAACAGCAGCATGATAGAAAGAATGAAAATTAAAAACAAATCAACACCAACATTTCATTAGATAAAAACATTCATTACATAGATAGCCATGAAAATAAATTCAACATTACATAACCATTTCATCGGACGTTATAACATAATGACGATATCCTCGACGGGTCTTTGAATCTTCACATTCACTTCAATCAGATCTTTTGATTCATAACGGAGGAAAGTACTCAACATAACCTTGAATTCTTCATCCGTCTTCAGTTCAAGGTTGATGAAATGGACCTTTCTGTCTCCATCAAACGAAGGTGACTGATACTCGAGCTTGATAATTTTGCGATCTTCTAGAAAGCGCAAGACAATATTCAATTTGGATATCAGATCTATGAGAGATGTTTCCTCGGCGACCCTAAACAGAAGTGACAATTTCTCACCATTGAAATACACAAATGCAAGGTGAAGATATAAATTCATTCTCTGATTTTAGTATGTTGTGTAGCAAATAAGGATTGAGACACACCTTAGAAACATAATGATTTTCATCCAAAAATTTTAAAAATTGTTGCATCTTGGATCTTTGACCCCTTATCGTCATGCTGTTCCCATGACGTTGATTTTATACCTGCTTGATATTTGAAACACTTTCTAGGTGTTTCTGTTTCAAATCTGCAAGTATGTTTTTCGGCGCTACTCTGATTAAAGACATGTTCGAAACAATTTCCTTCTTCGATTTAAGACGACATACGATTTAATCCCTTGCAACACAAGATATTTTCACTATAATAATTCATATTACAATTTTCTCAATCAAACTAGAAAGAGACTTTCTTGCCCAAACAAACTGTTCAAGACTTCTTGCTCAATCAAACTAGAAAAAGACTTGCTTGCCCAAACTCACAGTCCAAGACTTCTTTCTAAAATTCTCAGATAAGAGACTTCCTTGCTCAATCCTCCAGATCGATATATCCTCCTCAAATTCTCAAGCAAGAGACTTTCTTGCTCAATCCTCAGATCAAAATTTCATGCTCAAACCCTCAAGCAAGAGACTTCCTTGCTTAATTCTTAGATCGAGGTTTCCTGCTCAAGCCCTCAAGCAAGAGATTTCTTGCTCAATTCTCAGATCGATACTTCCTGCTCAAGCCCTCAAGCAAGAGACTTCCTTACTCAATACTCTGACTGAGACTTCCTTCCCTAAACCTACAATTTAGGACTTCCTGCTCGATCATAATTGAAAAATACTTTTGCTCAAGCATGAGTGCTAGAGACTCCAGATTTGTTTAATAAAATAGTCTTTATTAACCTCTGTGTTTATATGTGTGCTTCTTAGTTAAGAAGATACACAAAGGTTTTACACTCTGAATAAGATATAAATTATCTAGCTCCTAAGTGTATACAAATGAAATCTTCATTCTTTCTCTTCTTCTTCTGCACAAATGATCTTCATTTGTTGTGCCTTGCTGTTATATTGATCTGTTTGATCATATTCACATATTCTTCTTTTAACTCTCCTAGTCATATGTGAATATATCTCACTCTATTTCCTTTTCTCTTAACACATACTAACTCTTCTGGTTAGATTTCTTCTTCTTTTGTGTATTTCTCTCATTTGTGTCAACACAATTTTTCTCTCAACCCTCATCGTGTGTTATGGTATCAAATTCTTGTGAACTCAGTCATACATACACTTATCTTATTCTTCCATATTCTTTTTTTATAGATTATGAAAATAGATCTATTGAAGATTGATACTTCCCATAGTACAAGTAGCCATTGAAGGTTGAAACTACCCATAATGCAAGTAGTCGTTGAAGGTCTTTAGCTAGAACACGTAAAGTGAAACTTAAACACAACAAGCATACAGACGTTGAGATGAGCAAAGTAGAGTTTTCAGAACAACTGGAGAGACGGGATCCTGACAACACTACTTTCTTGATTAGACATACAATAGCCATATGTTGTCACCAGATCTTCTTGAGATAACTTTTGACTTGAGGTTTCTTGTAGACGTTTGTTAAAGCTTGAATACATCTATTGTTATATATTATACTTAACTTCTTGAATTAGAGGCTTCTTATAGAATTAGTTAAAGCTTGATCATAAGTTACAACATGTCTTCAGAACCTGGTTAGAATGAGACTACATAGTCTTGAGTTTATAGGTTATGAGCTTGCCTTTATCAGAGTCTTGATCAGAACTAATATGGATGAATACTTTCAGAGTTGCTGACTTGATATAGACAATAATCCTTTGAAGCAAAGACTTCAAAACTGTTGATGAAGCTTGTTCAAAATTTGCAGAGTCATTTCTTATGATAACGTCTGCTTGCTTCAAATAATTCTAGTCTTCGAACATTATTGGTCTTTAGAATTCCAAGTAAGCTTTAGTACAACAACTGAGAGATTTGAGTTTGACTTTGTAAGAGTATGAAAGCTTGGTTCTGGTCCTTCAGATTCAGAACAACTTTGCATCACTCTTAATAATTCTTCTAAGTGATTATCTTAATTTATATTAAGGTTAATGTCTTTTGATCCTACACACTTGAACAACCATTAGTAAAACTTTATTTCTCTTTAAATACATTGTTATCATCCAAATCTTTCAAGGGTTTGAACAAATCTTGTTCCAACAATCTTCATATTTTTTATGATGACAAACACATGTATTTAAGAACAATGGTTTATAATTTAATTAACACAGTCTAACATCAGAATCCGAGGTTTGTAAGCTCCTCCTAAGTTAGACAATCATTAAGGTGATGTTTGTCTATCCTTAAGTTTGATAGTTTATTAAGGTAAGACTTGTAAGCTTTCCTTAATTCCTTATCTATGTTAATTTAATCTTATAACTTAATTAACGTAGTCTAACATCAGAATCTGAGGTTTGTAAGCCCCCCCCTAAGATAAACAATCTATTAAGGTGATGTTGGTAAGCTCTCCTTAAGTCATTTCTTAGTTAATAAAGTTTATCATTAAGCTCAAAACAATTAAATTTATTTAGTATTTAAATAACTCAGAATCTTCTGAGAGTTCGGGTTTCAAATGTATTCCAATTGCACCAATATCTTCTTAAATACTTCATGCACTTTTCCTTAAATATATCATGTAATTTTCTCCCCCTTTGTCATCAACAAAAAGATACAAAAAATACCAACTAAAAGATATTAATAGAAATATCGACTGAGAGAGAAAAAACAGTTTAAACGTACTTCCCCCTTTTAACTTTTTTAAAGAAATCATTGAAATATTCATTTTTAAAGAAGAACAAACAATTTTAAAGGATTAATACAATTAAAATCTTTTTAACAAAAGAAGAGGAAAATACACCGAGAGATTCTTTGCTTCTTACCGTAATAAATTATTACATTCAATTTCGAAAGAGTAATTATGATTTAATATGGCATACTTAATTGGTAATTGACTTAAGAATTTCAAAGATCAGAAATCGAGACTTCCAAGGTTATTGATCTTTTAATATTTTTCCTATAAAAGACTTTCATAGTCTCTGAGGTAACTTCTGATCAGAGGGTCTGACCTTTTGAAGAAATTTCTTCAAACTTTCTTTCTTAGACATTGAAGCCAAATAAGAGGATCAATAAGAGGAATAAGAAGTCCAACATAAGAAGAAAATTAAGAGAAGTAATTCATTTTGATTTAGATGAAGAAGGATAATTGGATTTAGAATGGGACATTTTTTTCCATGTTTTGAAATCTAGAGATGATTAGGATAATGTAATGAACATATTTTTTTTAATCATTCCTTTAATTCAATGAAGTTTCTTCATTTTCTATTTTTTTTTGCATACCTTACTTTTAATCATAACTATTTCATATAATATAAACTGATTAAGAAGTTCATAATCCAGAAAAACAAGACGCGTTAATCTTAATAT